CATCCGTCCTGTACGAACAGACACACAAATGTGTGATTACTAACTACTAACATCAAATTAATCTAATAATTCGAAGGAGGAGTATCGGTGTTCGTCTGTTCTAAATAGGACTTCGACCCATGAGCAGCCCCCTGGGGAATTATGTCGGAAAATCCGACACCATTTAATAATCATACAGATAATAGCTGTATTACCAACAAGTTACCCATAGAAAACGTAACTTGTAGTGGAATTACCGTCTATAGAAAACGGGATATCATCACCACATACTATTATAATTCACCAGCTATTCTGCTGGGAATTATTCTTAAATACATTAGTCTTTGGACTTTACCATCATAAAAACATCTTATATAAATTAACTTAATTATCAATATTAAAGTAGAGTAAATGTGACCCTTCTATCACTTTCTGAAATCTGGACAATGTAAGCCAGGCGTCAGAGTGGAGGAAGGAGGGCAGCCATTGTTGTTTATATAGAGACCAGAGGCTCACACGGGAGCAAATTCGGCTCCTGTTAATTTTACTTGGACGTAGTGTTATGGATACCAAAGGTGTACCATCTGTCAACACGCTGTCAACAAATCAAGTTAAGTGTTCTTTCCGAAACCCATTATCTATCATTAGTGGCCATTAATGTCATTATATAGGGTGACCCGGTTAGAACGCGAAATCGCCTCATACTAAAGGTAATTAAGCCAGGTCTTCATGTTCCATGTACTGTTTTCTCTGATATACTTGTCATATATAGGTATCTGGCTTCACAGCTAGCGCACTTTTGACAGGTCAAGACGAGGATGCAAGATTTGTGCACCAGTTACTGGGTGATATGGAAGCTACCTCAAAGAGGATAATTTGGTGTCTACACCCTAGTTATACCTGGTGGACTAACCTGCTGTACTATAAGATAAGGAACCTCTTCAATGTATGTAGTTACTGTAGTTTGATTGGCTGCATATATATAAATATAAACCCCCCTAATGTGTAGAGGATCGATTTGTGAGATTATGAGATTATTGCAGAAATACAGTCCACTTATCATTATACAAATTGCTATCGAAGTATATAAATTAACGTAAATATAAATTCATATAAATTAAATAAATATAAATCTCACAGGTCGGTTCCCACAACCGCTCACAGGATGAGTATAGGGTGCACAATAAACTAGCCCCCTCCGGCGGCAACAATCACAAATCAACAGGGCGGCCCGGTCACAATGCATTCCCAGTACAAACAACAGGTGAGCAATATTCTCATATCTTTATTTAAATTGCCAATATTTCCTCTGAAATAGCTGTCATATTTAGGATTACTGCCATTATTGTGAGTTCCCTTTAACAGGTGTAATTGAAGGGGGAAGAAGAAGCACAATTAACTATTTGGCACAACCAGTAACATAACAACCCAGCGGGTTTTCTTCCTATTGGGGAGTGTTGTACATGCTGCTATGGCGGTGTGTCCACTCGCAAGATGAGTGGCGCTGCCCAATAAACTCACCCCTCGGGGCAAAATTTTAAATTTAAAAATTCAGTAACATGTTGTTATACCAGCCTCACCCACCAGGATTACTTGGTGTAATCACCCTTGCTCATAACTGGTGGACCAGGCCCACGACAATACAGATAAGGCCTCCCCATTTTAGTTAATAACATATATAGTCTAATACTGTAGTGAATGTCTACTAATCAATAATTTAGTTTGATAGACTATATATCAATTGGATAAAGCCCCAGAGTGGGTAAGGAATCGTTATGTGGGAATTCTTAAATCAATTCCACTTTAAACATCATAGTTTGCTATCGAAAAATATAAATTAACATAAAATATAAATTATTATATAAATTAATATAAACTAGATATAAATCTCACAAGTCATTTCCCCACATTGTCTTCCCCAGACACATTCATCAATGTTAACATACTGTGTATTAACAATTGGTTTGTTCTAATATATAAATTATTATTATACATAAAAAATTATTTATAGTTAGGGGTAGGTTAGGTTAGGTGTTTAGGTTCTGTTGGCACAACCCGTCCACGACTCAAGTCCATTACATCCAGCGGTCGACCCCACACACGCATTCATCAATTTTTACATGCTGTTCATTTAAAACGGGAATTTTCTCAGAAATTAATTAATATTGTGCATATATAGGCATAGGTTAGGTCAGGTGTTTAGGTTCTGTTGGCGATTATTTGTATTTGTAGTACGTGGGTGAAGCATTTATAGAATTGCGGTTCGAACAGAGGTAGGTGAAGCACTTGTTCCAGAGTGTTCGGATGTCATTAGTTGTGAGTCGTGTGTAAACATCTTTTCATTCATAAACATGGGGGTTTGGCGGCTGGATTAACGAGCTTGGATCTTTGTATGCGAAGACGGGCTGCCTAACCTACCAGACTTCAGAGGACCCAAAACAAAAATGGGACAATGTGTCACTTTCACGAGCCGCTATTTTCTAGTACGACCATTTTTGGCCGTAGGTAGAGTATGCGTCAAGATGCGACGCTATATTAGGAGGACAGGTTCAGGCGCCTCTTCCTATTCAAGGATCTAACCCAGTACAGTCGAAACTGTTCGCGTGTGTGTGGCGAATGTGTGGAGCGTATGTGGCGCTTGTGTGGAGCGTATGTGGCGTGAGAGATGTGTGGGGGGGGGGGGCCCCGTGTGTGGCGCATATGTGTTGTGAGCGCCCCACCACATAACGCAACTGATTTTTTTACACAGGTGTATGTGTACAGTATGTCTGTAATGTGTGTATACCTACAGAGTTGAATGCATATTTGTAGTGTTGTTTGTATACCTAGGGTGCTGTGTGTATATCTGTATTAGTATGTGTACACCTGTATTCACCTAGTTGTTCTTGTGGGGTTGAGCTCTGCTCTTTCGGCCCGCCTCTCAACTGTCAATCATCTGTAAATAACTACTAACAATGTTTTTTCCACACACACACACACACACACACACACACACAGGAAGCAGCTCCGTAACAGCTGTAACTCCCAGGTACCGATTTACTGCTAGGTAACAGGGGCATCAGGGGTGAAAGAAACTTTGCTCATTTGTTTCTGATTGGTCCGGGAATCGAACCCGGGCCACAGAATTACTAGTCCTGCGCGCTGTCCGCTCAGCATATATATATATATATATATATATATATCTTATTATATATATATATATATATATATATATATATATTATATATATTATATATATATATATATATATATATATATATATATATATATATATATATATATATATATATATATATATATATATATATATATATATATATATATATATATATATATATATATATATATATATATATATATATATATATATATATATATATATATATATATATATATATATATATGCAACAATGATCACAAAAACACTGATCCAAGTATGCAGAATAACCACATATGAAAAATAGAAAATGCTTAACGCGTTTTCGGCTAATTCGCCTTCATCAGAGCAAAGTAGAATGAAGATAAGTTTGCTGATCAGACCTTTATATCCGCCTGGGCAGATCACCTGACCACCAAAAATAAGTGGAGGAAAGGAATTATAAGAAAGAAGGTAACTGCAGAAGGCCTATTGGCCCATACAAGGCAGCTCCTTTTAATATCTCCAAGTGCCATACGTGTTTAAATGATTGCTATATTGTTTTGACGTGCTATATTGAGGCTTAAATAGGGATCCAACTTGTACATACCGGGGCTCACATTAAGGCTGTTGTTACAATGTTTGATCAGAGCAGACTCGATCACGTTTCGTTCAACAAAATCCTTACTTTTAACAATACATTTTGCCCCTGTGAAGTCGATAGAATGATTACATAAACTGGAATGTAAATACAATGCACTGGATTGCTGGGCTGTACGAACAGCATTCATATGCTATTCGTACAGCCCAGCAATCCAGTGCATTGTATTTACATTCCAGTTTATGTAATCATTCTATCGACTTCACAGGGGCAAAATGTATTGTTAAAAGTAAGGATTTTGTTGAACGAAACGTGATCGAGTCTGCTCTGATCAAACATTGTAACAACAGCCTTAATGTGAGCCCCGGTATGTACAAGTTGGATCCCTATTTAAGCCTCAATATAGCACGTCAAAACAATATAGCAATCATTTAAACACGTATGGCACTTGGAGATATTAAAAGGAGCTGCCTTGTATGGGCCAATAGGCCTTCTGCAGTTACCTTCTTTCTTATAATTCCTTTCCTCCACTTATTTTTGGTGGTCAGGTGATCTGCCCAGGCGGATATAAAGGTCTGATCAGCAAACTTATCTTCATTCTACTTTGCTCTGATGAAGGCGAATTAGCCGAAAACGCGTTAAGCATTTTCTATTTTTCATATGTGGTTATTCTGCATATATATATATATATATATATATATATTATATATATATATATATATATATATATATATATATATATATATATATATATATATATATATATAATATAACATAATATAACACAACACTGTTATAAAATGAAGGTCGCGTCTACAAGTATAGCATTTTGTGTGGATGAAGCTTCACCAGCCAGGCTGCCCCGGGCTTGGCCGGAGAGTCTACTACCCTCACATCAGTCATACACCTGGCACATATATAACAGTCACTCCAACGTAGGTGAAGTCAGGTAATATCTAAGCAAAGCACTGTATCTGGATGGTATTATATCACTGTTATCACATGACGGCAGTATGTATTATAGCAGCTTTTACATATACGCCGATGTTTCTGATGGCACCATTGGTCAGCTGATGCTGAGTGGAGCAGGCCAGGGTAAACTATTGTGAACCACCTGACTGAATTAGTCCTGCAGGAAACCCTGTTGTCTCATAAAATTGCCACACTGGCTTAAAATCACAATGAACTATCAGGTATATTACCAAAATATAATTTCTCTCCATATTTTTCACAGCCTTCATTTTACTTCCGTTCATCTGAGAATGATTCAAAGAAAACGTCTCAAAACATTGCACTTTCAATGTGTAATATTATGGCAAACTATACAAAACGGATCATACACTAGTCTGCGTGTGACTTCAAACGTCGAGTAAAGTGACCCACATTATATATATTACCAGTATTAGTGTAATGGCGAGCTGCACTGTTTTTGATCACGTTGATCATGGCTACAACGCCATGGGGCCCAGTATTTTATCTACAGTTATATTTTTCTTGGAAGTAATGGGCAGATAGCCGAAACGTTTCATCACAGGTCCACAGGCCTCCTGCACAGCTTTTAGCTTGATGGAGGAGAGTCTGGAGACCCAGTAGGTCACTCTGGTCTTGGACTCGCGCGAGGTGCTCCAAGGCTTGTCAAGGTTTTTAGTTGTATGTGAGTCAAGAAACTCCTCCATTTTAGGCTCAAAGTCGAGGCCGATATAATCTAGTAATTCACGAGTCTTATTGGCCGGGTTGAGGGACATGTCTTCATACCTGAGGATGTAGATCTTTCCAGGGAATTCCTCCTGGAGCTGTAGCGCCGCCGTAAGGTCGGCCTCCATGTCACTACAGAGGGTCTCCGGGTTGCTACAGTCGGGAGTGTTACACCAATTAACGGTGTCGGTGCGGGAGTTGATGACGCCCCTCGGGTCCCTAACCAGGTACACTATGTGAGCGTTTAACTTGCTGTCTTCCAGGATTGGCCGCAAGAACTTGAGACGAAGTCTGACGATCTTCATGGTGGCCCAGGGGAAGAGCTCACACGCCCCCGTCAAGAAGACTTCGTTAAAACAGAGGGCGTCTCCCCAGTCTTTGATGCTGCAAGTGTTCCACAACTGGACGTTGCGGGAAATCATTTCCTTGATGTTCTGGGCTGTCTTCATGTATTCTTCATGTCCTGAATACCTAGAACGAGATAAATAATCAGGTCATGTAACAGAGACGCAGTGCATTAGTTTAATAATATAGTTTCTGCGTATTTTGTAGAAAATTCAACTAGAGAAAATACAATTCTGCAGATAATTGATTCATAGTTATTATGAATCCAATTACGACAATTGGAGTCACAATGAGTATGAAATTGGAGGGCACATAAACTGAAGATAAACTATGTGATGCACGAGGAGAGAAAGATGGCAGTAAGCAGTAGAGCTGCTGTGTCTCGGGGCACAGACAGCTGTGTAGCCTCGCTACACACCGCCGCCACATTACTAAACACACTCGTGTATCATGAGACCTTCTATTTATCTACATGACATATGTACATAAACGTCTATTGCACGAGGTTACATTTATTTATTTATTTATTTATTTATTTATTTATTTATTTATATACAAGACGGTATAGTACATTGAGTTCATGAGAGTACAGAGACTGGATGTTTATATTCTTGTAAAGCCACTAGCACGCATACCGTTTCTGGCAGATCCTTACTCTAACATAATTTTAAGAAGGTAATTTCTGGCAAAATTAAAAAAATTGTTTACATATACATTGCAAAAAAGTATAAAAATACATTATAATAAAGTACAACAAAAGAACATTGTATAAAAAATTTGACAGAAAAAAAGTAGGTACATTAAAGTAAATTTAAGGGCAATCCACAGGAACATTTCCATATGAGGGTTACCTGCACGACAGGAGGTCATGGATGATCTTTTGAGCTTCAACAGCATCTTGTCCGTCTCTGATCTGACGGAGGCCGAACTGCAGTAGAGGCTCGTAGTGGTTGTAGACGGCCGAGTGGGAGGCCAGCAGCTCCTCCAGGAAGGTGGAGCCCGAGCGCCAGGTGGTGGCGATCACGACCTGGGGGGACGGTGGAGGCATGAGACGCGCCCCCAGGCACACCCTGTGAGCCACACCACGCCACACACCCCGTGAGCCACAACACGCCACACACCCCGTGAGCCACAACACGCCACACACCCCGTGAGCCACACCACGCCACACACCCCGTGAGCCACACCACGCCACACACCCCGTGAGCCACACCACGCCACACACCCCGTGAGCCACACCACGCCACACACCCCGTGAGCCACACCACGCCACACACCCCGTGAGCCACACCACGCCACACACACCCCGTGAGCCACACCACGCCACACACCCCGTGAGCCACACCACGCCACACACCCCGTGAGCCACACCACGCCACACACCCCGTGAGCCACACCACGCCACACACCCCGTGAGCCACACCACGCCACACACCCCGTGAGCCACACCACGCCACACACCCCGTGAGCCACACCACGCCACACACCCCGTGAGCCACACCACGCCACACACCCCGTGAGCCACACCACGCCACACACCCCGTGAGCCACACCACGCCACACACCCCGTGAGCCACACCACGCCACACACCCCGTGAGCCACACCACGCCACACACCCCGTGAGCCACACCACGCCACACACCCCGTGAGCCACACACGCCACACACCCCGTGAGCCACACCACCCCACACACCCCGTGAGCCACACCACGCCACACACCCCGTGAGCCACACCACGCCACACACCCCGTGAGCCACACCACGCCACACACCCACACACCCGTGAGCCACACCACGCCACACACCCTGTGAGCCACACCACGCCACACACCCCGTGAGCCACACCACGCCACACACCCCGTGAGCCACACCACGCCACACACCCCGTGAGCCACACCACGCCACACACCCCGTGAGCCACACCACGCCACACACCCCGTGAGCCACACCACGCCACACACCCTGTGAGTCACACCACGCCACACACCCGTGAGCCACACCACGCCACACACCCCGTGAGCCACACCACGCCACACACCCCGTGAGCCACACCACGCCACACACCCCGTGAGCCACAACACGCCACACACCCCGTGAGCCACACCACGCCACACACCCCGTGAGCCACACCACGCCACACACCCCGTGAGCCACACCACGCCACACACCCCGTGAGCCACAACACGCCACACACCCCGTGAGCCACACCACGCCACACACCCCGTGAGCCACACCACGCCACACACCCGTGAGCCACACCACGCCACACACCCGTGAGCCACACCACGCCACACACCCACGTGAGCCACACCACGCCACACACACCACACCACGCCACACACCCCGTGAGCCACACACGCCACACACCCCGTGAGCCACACCACGCCACACACCCGTGAGCCACACCACGCCACACACCCCGTGAGCCACACCACGCCACACACCCTGTGAGTCACACCACGCCACACACCCGTGAGCCACACCACGCCACACACCCCGTGAGCCACACCACGCCACACACCCCGTGAGCCACAACACGCCACACACCCCGTGAGCCACACCACGCCACACACCCCGTGAGCCACACCACGCCACACACCCCGTGAGCCACACCACGCCACACACCCCGTGAGCCACACCACGCCACACACCCCGTGAGCCACACCACGCCACACACCCCGTGAGCCACACCACGCCACACACCCCGTGAGCCACACGCCACACACCCCGTGAGCCACACCACGCCACACAGCCCGTGAGCCACAACACGCCACACACCCCGTGAGCCACACCACGCCACACACCCCGTGAGCCACACCACGCCACACACCCCGTGAGCCACACACCCACACACCCCGTGAGCCACACCACGCCACACACCCTGTGAGCCACACCACGCCACACACACCCGTGAGCCACACACCCCGTGAGCCACACCACGCCACACACCCCGTGAGCCACACCACGCCACACACCCCGTGAGCCACACCACGCCACACACCCCGTGAGCCACACCACGCCACACACCCCGTGAGCCACACCACGCCACACACCCCGTGAGCCACACCACGCCACACACCCCGTGAGCCACACCACGCCACACACCCCGTGAGCCACACCACGCCACACACCCCGTGAGCCACCCACGCCACACACCCCGTGAGCCACACCACGCCACACACCCCGTGAGCCACACCACGCCACACACCCCGTGAGCCACACCACGCCACACACCCCCGTGAGCCACACCACGCCACACACCCCGTGAGCCACACCACGCCACACACACCACACCACGCCACACACCCCGTGAGCCACACCCACACACCCCGCCACACACCCCGTGAGCCACACCACGCCACACACCCCGTGAGCCACACCACGCCACACACCCCGTGAGCCACACCACGCCACACACCCCGTGAGCCACACGCACGTGAGCCACACCACGCCACACACCCCGTGAGCCACACCACGCCACACACCCCGTGAGCCACACCACGCCACACACCCCGTGAGCCACACCACGCCACACACCCCGTGAGCCACACCACGCCCACACCCCGTGAGCCACACCACCGCCACACCACGCCACACACCCCGTGAGCCACACCACGCCACACACCCCGTGAGCCACACCACGCCACACACCCCGTGAGCCACACCGCCACGTGAGCCACACCACGCCACACACCCCGTGAGCCACACCACGCCACACACCCCGTGAGCCACACCACGTGAGCCACACCACGCCACACACCCCGTGAGCCACACCACGCCACACACCCCGTGAGCCACACCACGCCACACACCCGTGAGCCACACCACGCCACACACCCCGTGAGCCACACCACGCCACACACCCCGTGAGCCACACCACGCCACACCAGCCACACCACGCCACACACCCCGTGAGCCACACCACGCCACACACCCCGTGAGCCACACCACGCCACACACCCCGTGAGCCACACCACGCCACACACCCCGTGAGCCACACCACGCCACACCCCGTGAGCCACACACGCCACACCCCGTGAGCCACACCACGCCACACACCCGTGAGCCACACCACGCCACACCACGCCACACACCCCCACACACCCCGTGAGCCACACCACGCCACACCACACACACACCCCGTGAGCCACACCACGCCACACACCCCGTGAGCCACACCACGCCACACACCCCGTGAGCCACACCACGCCACACCCCCGTGAGCCACACCACGCCACACACCCCGTGAGCCACACCACGCCACACACCCGTGAGCCACACCACGCCACACCACGCCACACACCCGTGAGCCACACCACGCCACCACACACCCCGTGAGCCACACCACGCCACACACACCCCCGTGAGCCACACCACGCCACACACCCCGTGAGCCACACCACGCCACACACCCCGTGAGCCACACCACGCCACACACCCCGTGAGCCACACCACGCCACACACCCCGTGAGCCACACCACGCCACACACCCCGTGAGCCACACCACGCCACACCCCCGTGAGCCACACCACGCCACACACCCCGTGAGCCACACACGCCACACACCCCGTGAGCCACACCACGTGAGCCACACACACACCGTGAGCCACACACGCCACACACCCCGTGAGCCACACCACGCCACACACCCCGTGAGCCACACCACGCCACACCCCAACACGAGCCACACCCCGTGAGCCACACCACGCCACACACCCCGTGAGCCACACCACGCCACACACGCCACACCACGCCGTGAGCCACACCACGCCACACACCCCGTGAGCCCACCACGTGAGCCACACCACGCCACACAGCCACACGCCACACACCCCGTGAGCCACACCACGCCACACCACACACCCCGTGAGCCACACCACGCCACACACCCCGTGAGCCACACCACGCCACACACCCCGTGAGCCACACCACGCCACACACCCCGTGAGCCACACCACGCCACACACCCCCACACCACGCCACACACCCCGTGAGCCACACCACGCCACACACCCCGTGAGCCACACCACGCCGTGAGCCACACCACCACACCACGCCACACACCCCGTGAGCCACACCACGCCACACACCCCGTGAGCCACCACGCCACACACCCCGTGAGCCACACCACGCCACACACCCCGTGAGCCACACCACGCCACCACAGCCACACCACGCCACACACCCCGTGAGTGAGCCACACCACGCCACACACCCCGTGAGCCACACCCCGTGAGCCACACCACGCCACACACCCCGTGAGCCACACCACGCCACAGCCCCGTGAGCCACACCACGCCACACACCCCGTGAGCCACACCACGCCACACACCCCGTGAGCCACACCACGCCACACACCCCGTTAGCCACACCACGCCACACACCCGTGAGCCACACCACGCGCCACACACACCACCACCTCTAGGATCCCAGCCAAAGATTACGTAACACAGAGAAACTAGTCAAATGCTTTTATACACAGAAGCGTTGATCAAAGAATATCTGATGTGATCTTATGATTAAGATAATGTGGTCAATTACCTAAGCAATATAAAGGATGTGAATTATGGTGAAAGTGTAGAGAGCAAAGTGGCAAAGTGAAGAAGAGAAAACGTCGTTTTCGAAGAGAACAAAACAAAAACAGAGAAAAAACGAAACTTTACAGTCTTAATAAGGGTGTCGGAAGGCGAGTTAAACGTACGCTTAAAATGTGCGCTTAACTCACCTCTTACACTCTTCTAAAAATATCAACCTAAGATAACTCACCAAATAATTTTTTTCCTAAACTTAAATTGGTCAAATATATATTTAAACGTTCATTCGTACATAGTTACAGATGTGTGGCGCAGTTACCATGTCACTGAGGGACTCACCACAGGGACATGGTACCAGGAGAACACTGAGGGGACTCAACACAAGGACATGGTACCAGGGGAACACTGAGGGACTCACCACAGGGACATGGTACCAGGAGAACACTGAGGGACTCACCACAGGAACATGGAACCAGGAGAACACTGAGGGGACTCACCACAAGGACATGGTACCAGGGGAACACTGAGGAGACTCACCACAGGGACATGGTACCAGGTGAACACTGAGAAAGTGAGAGAGAGACAGGTATATAGAGATATACATATAGGACTGCGTACCTTGAGCGTCTTGGGACGAGGCTGGGAGGAGAGTGGCCGAGCATTATGAACAGCCTCCATGATGCTCCAGTACTTGCGTCCGCTCACCTCCTCCATCATGCTAACCTGCGCGAAAACAACCAACCATTAATACACGTCTGTCAGTCCATAACCATGTACTAGAAGGTGGAAGGACGACGACGTTTTGGTCCGTCCTGGACCATTCTCAAGTCGATAGCCTCAAGACTATCGACTTGAGAATGGTCCAGGACGGACCGAAACGTCGTCGTCCCTTCACCTTCTAGTGTGTGGTCTGGTCAACTTACTTTAGCTATGTTATTGTGACTCATCGCCTGCATGAACATGTATGTTAACCTTTACCTAATTGTATGTTTATCAACACTTCTCTCTCTGACCAATACTGGCGGCTCAACCTCAATGTTTTAGTCGCTCTTATATAAAATAACGACCGGCATGGGATTGGTTATGCAAATGTATAACTATTAGTATATCTGGTGTTAATACATTAGCAGAAATACATTACAGTTTACCACCACTCTTTTAGCTGGTAAAGGGTGAGGTGTAACCCTATTGGTTAGTTGGAGGTGAGGTGTAACCCTATTGATTTGTTGGAGGTGAGGTGTAACCCCTGTTGGCTAGTTGGAGGTGAGGTGTAACCCCTGTTGGATAGTTGGAGGTGAGGTGTAACCCCTGTTGGCTAGTTGGAGGTGATGTGTAACCCCTGTTGGCTAGTTGGAGGTGAGGTGTAACCCCTGTTGGCTAGTTGGAGGCGAGGTGTAACCCCTGTTGGCTAGTTGGAGGTGAGGTGTAACCCCTGTTGGCTAGTTGGAGGTGAGGTGTAACCCCTGTTGGCTAGTTGGAGGTGAGGTGTAACCCCTGTTGGCTAGTTGGAGGTGAGGTGTAACCCCTGTTGGCTAGTTGGAGGTGAGGTGTAACCCCTGTTGGCTAGTTGGAGGTGAGGTGTAACCCCTGTTGGCTAGTTGGAGGTGAGGTGTAACCCTGTTAGCTGTAAGAGGTCAAATGTATCTCTACTAATTTTAACATAAAATTGACAAACAAATCAAAATGCTCCAGGAAATTCTGGTTGAACTGACGAGAAGTAGTTTGACTTTTACTTAACAATATTAAACCAAGGATTATGCACGGAAGAAACCACACCAAAGCTTGCCCTGAAGACGCATGCGGGCCGCCTCAAGGGAGCACGTCTTGACCCTCACCATTAATCTGGCCAAGATGCTTGCAAAGATCACATGGAGTCACAAGCACTCCCCCATCCGCTCACAACACAATTAACATCAACATTTCTGGCGACAGACATTGTGTGTAAGACCCTCACCTCATAGGGGGTGGATAAACACCCCATCATCACCAACCCCCCACCAATGAGGTCTTGAACGCATCAGTGCGTTGTGGAGTGCCATCACATGTCCAACAGATGTTGAACCAAACAGTCAACAAGTGATTGATAGTATTGGAAGAACAATGCACACTGTTCTTCAAGGAATGAAAAGTTGACATACATTTTAGGGTTGCGGAAGGTCTCACCCAATATAGTGACTGTCTCCACCAGTGCACCCGTCCATGGGAACACTTCCATGGGGACGCACGTCCATGGGGACGCTTCCATGGGGACACTTCCATGGGGACGCACGTCCATGGGGACACTTCCATGGGGACGCACGTCGATGGGGACACTTCCATGGGGACACTTCCATGGGGACGCACTTCCATGGGGACGCACTTCCATGGGGACGCACGTCCATGGGGACACTTCCATGGGGACGCACGTCCATGGGGACACTTCCATGGGGACGCACTTCCATGGGGACGCACGTCCATGGGGACACTTCCATGGGGACGCACGTCCATGGGGACACTTCCATGGGGACGCACGTCCATGGGGACACTTCCATGGGGACGCACTTCCATGGGGACGCACTTCCATGGGGACACTTCCATGGGGACGCACGTCCATGGGGACACTTCCATGGGGACGCACGTCCAAGGGGACGCACGTCCATGGGGACGCACGTCCATGGGGACGCTTCCATGGGGACGCACGTCCAAGGGGACGCTTCCACGGGGACGCACGTCAATGGGGACACTTCCATGGGGACGCACGTCCATGGGGACACTTCCATGGGGACGCACGTCCATGGGGACGCACGTCCATGGGGACACTTCCATGGGGACGCACTTCCATGGGGACACTTCCATGGGGACGCACGTCCATGGGGACACTTCCATGGGGACGCACGTCCATGGGGACACTTCCATGGGGACGCACGTCCATGGGGACACTTCCATGGGGACGCACTTCCATGGGGACACTTCCATGGGGACGCACTTCCATGGGGACACTTCCATGGGGACGCACTTCCATGGGGACACTTCCATGGGGACGCACGTCCATGGGGACACTTCCATGGGGACGCACGTCCATGGGGACACTTCCATGGGGACGCACGTCCATGGGGACGCACGTCCATGGGGACGCACGTCCATGGGGACGCACGTCCATGGGGACACTTCCATGGGGACGCACGTCCATGGGGACACGTCCATGGGGACGCACGTCCATGGGGACGCACGTCCATGGGGACGCTTCCATGGGGACGCACGTCCATGGGGACACTTCCATGGGGACGCACGTCCATGGCGACACTTCCATGGGGACCCACGTCCATGGGGACGCACGTCCATGGGGACACTTCCATGGGGACGCACGTCCATGGGGACACTTCCATGGGGACGCACGTCCATGGGGACACTTCCATGGGGACGCACGTCCATGGGGACACTTCCATGGGGACGCACGTCCATGGGGACACTTCCATGGGGACACTTCCATGGGGACGCACGTCCATGGGGACACTTCCATGGGGACGCACGTCCATGGGGACACTTCCATGGGGACGCACTTCCATGGGGACACTTCCATGGGGACGCACGTCCATGGGGACACTTCCATGGGGACGCTTCCATGGGGACGCACGTCCATGGGGACACTTCCATGGGGACGCACGTCCATGGGGACACTTCCATGGGGACGCACGTCCATGGGGACACTTCCATGGGGACGCACGTCCATGGGGACACTTCCATGGGGACGCACGTCCATGGGGACACTTCCATGGGGACGCACGTCCATGGGGACACTTCCATGGGGACGCACGTCCATGGGGACGCACGTCCATGGGGACGCACGTCCATGGGGACGCACTTCCATGGGGACGCACGTCCATGGGGACACTTCCATGGGGACGCACGTCCATGGGGACACTTCCATGGGGACGCACGTCCATGGGGACACTTCCATGGGGACGCACGTCCATGGGGACGCTCGTCCATGGGGACGCACGTCCATGGGGACGCTCGTCCATGGGGACGCACGTCCATGGGGACACGTCCATGGGGACACGTCCATGGGGACGCACGTCCATGGGGACACGTCCATGGGGACGCACGTCCATGGGGACACGTCCATGGGGACGCACGTCCATGGGGACACGTCCATGGGGACGCACGTCCATGGGGACACTTCCATGGGGACGCACGTCCATGGGGACGCACGTCCATGGGGACACTTCCATGGGGACGCACGTCCATGGGGACACTTACATGGGGACACTTCCATGGGGACGCACGTCTATGGGGACACTTCCATGGGGACGCACGTCCATGGGAACGCTTCCATGGGGACGCACGTCCATGGGGACGCTTCCATGGGGACACTTCCATGGGGACGCACGTCCATGGGGACACTTCCATGGGGACGCACGTCCATGGGGACACTTCCATGGGGACGCACTTCCATGGGGACGCACTTCCATGGGGACGCACGTCCATGGGGACACATCCATGGGGACACATCCATGGGGACGCACGTCCATGGGGACACTTCCATGGGGACGCACGTCCATGGGGACGCACGTCCATGGGGACACTTCCATGGGGACACTTCCATGGGGACGCACGTCCATGGGGACACTTCCATGGGGACGCACGTCCATGGGGACACTTCCATGGGGACGCACGTCCATGGGGACACTTCCATGGGGACGCACGTCCATAGGGACACTTCCATGGGGACGCACGTCCATAGGGACACTTCCATGGGGACGCACGTCCATGGGGACGCACGTCCATGGGGACACTTCCATGGGGACGCACTTCCATGGGGACACTTCCATGGGGACGCACGTCCATGGGGACACTTCCATGGGGACGCTTCCATGGGGACGCACGTCCATGGGGACACTTCCATGGGGACGCACGTCCATGGGGACACTTCCATGGGGACGCACGTCCATGGGGACACTTCCATGGGGACGCTTCCATGGGGACGCACGTCCATGGGGACACTTCCATGGGGACGCACGTCCATGGGGACGCACGTCCATGGGGACGCACGTCCATGGGGACGCACGTCCATGGGGACGCACGTCCATGGGGACACTTCCATGGGGACGCACGTCCATGGGGACACTTCCATGGGGACGCACGTCCATGGGGACACTTCCATGGGGACGCACGTCCATGGGGACACTTCCATGGGGACGCACGTCCATGGGGACACTTCCATGGGGACGCACGTCCATGGGGACACTTCCATGGGGACGCACGTCCATGGGGACACTTCCATGGGGACGCACGTCCATGGGGACGCACGTCCATGGGGACACTTCCATGGGGACGCACGTCCATGGGGACACTTCCATGGGGACGCACGTCCATGGGGACACTTCCATGGGGACGCACGTCCATGGGGACACTTCCATGGGGACGCACGTCCATGGGGACACTTCCATGGGGACGCACGTCCATGGGGACACTTCCATGGGGACGCACGTCCATGGGGACACTTCCATGGGGACGCACGTCCATGGGGACACTTCCATGGGGACGCACGTCCATGGGGACGCTCGTCCATGGGGACGCACGTCCATGGGGACGCTCGTCCATGGGGACGCACGTCCATGGGGACGCTCGTCCATGGGGACGCACGTCCATGGGGACACGTCCATGGGGACACGTCCATGGGGACGCACGTCCATGGGGACACGTCCATGGGGACGCACGTCCATGGGGACGCACGTCCATGG